AACGGAATCAACATCAATGTGTAAAAGAAGGGGGGAAGTTCCAAAGTGGGTTGTGACTAATTGTACAGCCCTTCTTGATATGATTGGACCATTGAATTGCATGATGTGTGAATTATAACTCAACAATTTTTAAGCAAGTCTATTAAACAAAAATAAATGACTCAATAAATTCCCCAAGATTTCACCAGTGTGGGTGTTTGTTTGAATAATACGTTGTTGTATTATTCAGCACCCAATTTGCAGAAGGCTATGGAGGACAGTGAAAGCCCAAAATCCATTTGCAGGGTCCCCACATGTATTCAGCCTCCAGAGAATCCCCTCTGACCATTGACCCAGGATGGGAATAGCCTTGCTATCAGACAAAGTGCATTAATGCAGAAAGGGGGTGATTGCAGATGCAGTTCCATTAAAAATTAACATCTTGTCATCTGATCTTCCTTTGACTCATTTAAAATTTGTTCTAGCTTTTTAATGTTTCCTGCCTTCTTTCCTATTGAAGTTGTTCTCTCTTTTATTGCGTCATGTTGTTGTGTATGTTTTGCAGTATATGAATGCGAGGATAAGTAAATCTGTAGAGACAATAACTGGATTCATCGTTTCCTAGGGGCATGACAGGGAGGTCCTAGGGGCATGGCAGGGCCATGGCTTGGGGAGCTAATAATAGCACATACGAGAAAGAAACAATGGTTCTAAAATTGATTGTGGTCTGGTTGCACAACTCTATTTAATAAGATTGAACTATGGAATTGTATGAATGTGAATTATATGTCAATAAGACTGCTTTTAAAAAAAGATTAATCCATCCAGCAACTGAATGCAGACTTGTCCCTCCAAGCAAAGAGCAACCTGAGGACTAGACAGCCTATCTCCTAGGCCAGACTTCTCCAGAAGACCCCTTCCCTCATGCCAACTGTCAAGTCCCTTACCCTTGTGTTCCAGGAGCCCTTGTGATGCAGTGGTTATGTGTTAGGCACAAGGTTAGCAGTTCAAAACTACCACCAGCAGCTGCAGGGGAAGAAACACGGGACTCTCTATTCCCCTCAAGAGTTAGTCTTGGAAACTCACAGAGGCAGTTCTATCCTCTTCTATAGGGTTGCTATAGTGGAAATCAACCTGGCGGTGAGTTGGGTGGTGAGTGGATGAATGAGCAAGCAAAAACTTGTTCCAGGGAGATTTCGACAGACAAGGTCCACTTCGTCTTCCTGAGGATTGTACTCAGTAAAGCTTCTTGCTTTCCCTTCTGTCCCGTCTTGTGAAGTGGCTTACTTGCAAGAGGCTGCCCAAGTCTCCCACTGTGTGTGAGCATGCATCGATAGGGTCGCTATGAGTCAGTCAACTGGATGGTACCGAACAACAAGTTCCGGAATAACGGAGCACTTCAATATCTCTGACCACCTCTGACATGCCTGGTGATCTGCTCCCACAGAGACACAGCCTAGGAACCGTCTGGGGCAGTGCTGCTCCGACCTGCCGAATCCACCGCAGGCTCAACAGGTGCATGGTGTGCAGGCGCTGTGTGAACGCTGAGGTCCAGGTAAATGAGCAAAGTCATTTCAGACCATTCCAATGGTCTCTAAATAATGGCTGGAAGCCAGCATGGTGTGATAAGAGGTGACTGAGGTGGGCATGGGGAGCTACTCAGTTAGGGTGGCTGGGGAAGGGCCAGTGCGGTGACCTGAACAAGGAGACCCAGCCACAAGGAAGGGCAGCATCGTAGGGCACAACAGAGAAACAAGTCAGCCTGAAGGGGGAAGTTGGCTCTGCCACCATGAAAGTATGGTGGAAGATAGGGGTCAGGGGTCCTTTCAGTTTTTAAAAAATTAAGTTAACTATCCTTTGAGTTGTAGAAGTAGGCAGACAGGAGGGAACGTGAATCCAATGGGCTTAAATCACATTATTGTAAAACCAGACTGTCTCTACAGCTGCCTATCCCAGTGAAAGCCAATAAGG